TTTTTTTGCAGAATAATATATAATCAATTAAATAGATAGATAGATAGATAGATAGATAGATAGATTGATTGACTGACATGCATATATATTTACATCCGTTTTTACCTAAGAAATTAGGTGCGTGAATTTAGAAATATCTTTCCTGATCTCACGCGCAAGATCTTTTGATGAAGAAAAAGAATTAGATCAGCCAAGAAATCGATACAATCCGACTGAGTAATTGATAGACATGGGCATGAAAAAATATTTGCTGTAACCAACAGAAAGTAGTTTTCTTTTAATTGGGTATACATCAAGAAACTGAATCACACACACACACACACATGTATACGTGTGTTCTTGTGTAAGATGTATTTTTGAATGTGTATGTGAGTGCGTTGTTTTTTAATATGTGTGTATGTATGTATATATGTGTATGAACATGTGTTAAGGTTAGATTTATTTTTGAATATATATTTATTAGTGCGTAAAGCATTCTTTTAAAAATATGGATGTACATGTATTTGTCTAAGATCTATTTTGTGTGTATATACAAATATTGCCCGCGATAACTTTTGGTAAATATTAGTGAAATCTTAGAAGTGTATCTATAGTGAAATTTAGCATTTTTTAAGAAAACTCAGTCAGTCAACTTATGAACAGTAAAATCAGAAACTAGGCAACAACATCAAAAATGGCACACCGACACAAAACACAATAAAGCAGGAACTTATATACTATCGGCTACATGTTCCAACATGTTGTATCCCCACTATTAGCGACGACACGCAGTAGAAAACTTTATTTATCAATCAACCGTCGTATTATTCAACGACGTCACAGAGATAAGGAAGGACTTTACCTACTATCGATTACGTCTTCAAACACCACGGGATAAAAACTATTAACGACGCTACCATCCATTTTACCTAACAACCAACAACGTAGTAATAACAGCAAATCTTGTGAACAAAGAATTTTTGAACAGGACGTTATATAGTATCGATTACGTGTTCAAACATGTTTCTATCACCACTATTAGAGACGCCACGTGGTAGAAGAACTTACTGCTGGTTACGTGTTCAAACATGTTTCTATCACCACTATTAGAGACGCCACGTGGTAGAAGAACTTACTGTTGGTAACAGGTTCAAACATGTTTCTATCACCACTATTAGTGACGCCACACGGTATGACAAATTAAACCTATCAATCAATTACGTATTTTTCAATGACCTTTTACAGCAAATAACATTGAGGAAATTTGAATCAACTTTCTATACTATCGAGTACGCATTCGAACCTGTTTCTGTTACCACTATTAGCGACGCCACGCGGTAGGAAATATTACTTATCGTATTATTCAACGTCATCTCAAATCATAGTAACACTAATAACCCTGAACAGGACGTGAACCTTGAACACGACTTTATATATTATAGATTATATATTCAAACATCTTTCTGTCATCACTATTATCGATGCCACGCGGTAGGACACGTTTTTCATGCCAATGATTCCTCGTATTTCATAACATCTGCCATTTAACATTATTGAGCCAACTAAATAGCAAAAAAATTGGAATTAAAATTAAATAAAATTTAAAGAAATAATGAACAAATAGCTACAGATCATTATATTATAATAATAAAATATTTTTCTTTTTCATGTACCTTGAAAATCGCTGTACCTGCTTAAAGAAGGAAAAGAAATAGAAGTCCTGGATTTGGTTGGTTTGTTTTGTTTTTGCGGTATATCAACCTCAATAGGTTATTTAATGCCAAGGAAATTTCTATTGCTGGTAATATTTTTCCCTCAAAAAATATATTTCTGGTAATATTTATCCTTCAAAAAATATCGCTCGTAATATTTTTTTCAAAAAATGTATAGCTGGTAATTTTTTAAAAATGTATTGTTGGTAATTTTGTTTTCAAAAATATATTGCTGGTAATAATTTTTTTCTTCAAAACATTTATTGCTGGTAATGTTTTACGAAGTATTTCTGGTATAAAACATATTTTTACACTTTCATAGTGTTTTTACCCCAGTTTGGGGTTAACTATTTACCCATAGTCGGGACCGAAACAGGTGATACCGCCCCGGGTCAGAGTGGACCTGGGAACACCAGCAATTAACAGGTGGTTCCACGCTCCTCAAAACCTCCTGATCAGAGGCCTTGCTGTTGGATTTATTTTATTGTCATACCCAGGTGGCGGACGTAGTTTATCATCATACCCAGGACGCGGACGTAGTTTATCGTCATACCCAGGACGCGGACGTAGTTTATTGTCATACCCAGGATGTTAGAAGTCCTGGGACATTAAAAAGTCGCTGCTATTCCTCTTTTCGGAGAAAGAACCACTTAATTTATCTTCTTTCAAATCATTTCAATTTGTCAATTTAAGTGCCTGAGGCGGACAAGGCTTTTCTTCTTATACCCTCCTGTTAAATTTTCGCTGTCGTTCACAAATTCGACCAACGCCTGGCAAAAAAGTCCCTAATGGAATTACTCTGTCTTTTTAGCCGCTCCGTGGGTTTTCGAAGATCTTCAGAGCTGTTTCTAATTGAACGATAAGAATAACGGTAATATCAGTTGTTTTCCTTATATAGTAGAGCAATAATTATTTATTATAATTTTTTCATATAGACAAAAATAGTTTACTCACTACAAAGATGCAACTTCGTTTCGGGGCATTTCAATTGCACCTCGACTGGTGAGAACCAAAAATGGTTATGAACAATTCTGATTTTAATTATATATATATATATATATATATATATATATATATATATATATATATATATATAAAATAGGAGCTTACATCGGTGAAAAAAACTAGCAATGATTTATGAGTGCTGTGCAACATTTAGAATTGTTTTAATTCTGCACTGTGCCCTCATTTGCGCATTTTTTTTTTGCTTTCTTTCTTTTTTTGTCGTGACCCACCGAAGGGTCGGGACCCACAATTTGACAAACCCTAGAAGGGAAAGAAATTGAAGATGTCTTATAACGCCTTAACACTGAGATAGCTTGGTTTGGTTTTATTTGGTTTATTTTTTTTACGGCATATCAACCTCAATGGGTTATTTAATGCCGACAACATTTTTAGGATAGATTCGTATGGATAGAATATGTATTCTTTGCTTTAGATTGGTTTGGTTTATTTTGTTTTACGGCATATCAACCTCAATGGTTTATTTAATGCTAACATTTTTAGAATAAATTCGTATGAATAGAATATGTATTCTTTGGTTTAGATTGGTTTGGTTTATTTTGTTTTACGGCATATCAACCTCAATGGGTTATTTAATGCCGACAACATTTTTAGGATAGGTTCGTACGAATAGAATAAGAAATCAGTTTGTAGATCAGATTTTATTAACGTATTTTTGTAAAGAGTGTTTTTGTCGAGAGCCAAATGTATTGCTGGTAACATTTCTTTCAAAAATGTATTGTTGGCATTTTTACTACGAAATCTATTTTTATACTTTCATAGTGTTTTGACCTCAGTTCGGGAGGTTAGCTATTTGCCCATAGCTGGGACCCTACAAGGTGATACCAACCCGGGTCAGCGTGGACCTTATAAAGAAACATTTGGCATTCATCGCCCGAGCATCTAGGTTTTACGTTATTGACATATCCGGCCCCAGCAGGCTTACATGTAAACCAATATGTCAGCTATCCTAAACATAATGGAAATATGTCTGTTAATGGAAATATCAACCATTTCCTAATAAGGAAACATTCGACATTCATCGAACAAGCATTTAGGCTTTACATTATTGACATATGCGGTCCCACCGGGCTTAGATGTAAACCAATATATCAGCTGTCCTAAACATACAATATCGGTTTAAGGCAATACCAACCATTTCCTTATAAGGAAACATTTGGCATTCATCGACAGAGCAACTTCGCTTTATATTATTGACATATGCGGCCCCATCGGGTTTACAAGTAAACCAATATGTCAGCTATCCTAAACATAGAATGTTGGTTAATATTAATATCAACCATTTCTTTATAAGGAAACATTTGGCATTCATTGGTTGAGCTGCCAGTAATGTCGTCGATTGGAATTAATAAAAAAAAAAAAAAAACAATGTTTGGGGTAGAGTGTAATATAGACTCTTGACTATGTGATGTGTTCTCTTATCTAGTACTTTGTTTGTGATTATGTAGCGCTAGTCCACGAGGTTCGATAAAGGATCGTCCTGACTGAGTCCAACACGTTTCACTTGCTTGAAGCCATTCTTAACCATTGTTATAAGAAAGCAGTTTTATATAGCCAAGAGTTTAGATATTTCTAAATAAATCTGTTGCAATGAATAGCGTCTATATGAAAGTGTTGATCTGACGAGGCTATTTAAGGACATGACTTCAGGTTTTTAGATTGATGTTTTAGTTTTGTAGCAACTTGTGGTATTGTGCGAAACTACTTCCAGCATAATCTATTCTGTGCTCAATTTCCTTTTCTTCTATACTAAATTTGTTGTAACTGATCCATACATCGAGGTATTTGAAGTGTTTAGTATTTATTAATTCTAAATCCTGGATCTTTGTGTAGGGTACATGCAGGATTCAGGGTACATGCCATCACTGTTTTCAATCCAATTCCAAATGATGGTAGAGGAGAGTGAATTTTGTTTATTGTTGTCTAAATACGAATAACTATCTCATCAGCATAGCCCCTTTCATCATCTCTACATTAGCCTTGGATGGTGATGCAGGAATGTTGTTTTCTTTTAGACAATTCATTTGAGATACGATGTTGAGTGTTTAAATGGTTAGAGCCCATCTCTTCGTATCTGTGCTTGTATACGCACAACACATAGTATAGGAAAAGATTAAATAGATTCAGGCTCTTCCTTCCTCGTCATACACCAGATGAACTTTGGTACGTTCCAGTAATGGAGTCATCACGTGAACATTTTGTGAAACGATATAGTTTTTTTATATTTTAAAAATATCCTAATGTTTAAAAACGCCACATAGATTTGTCTTTCATTCTGACCTGAAGACACCAACCTAACCTTTTCTCTTTTCTCTTTTTATTTCTCTTCTGTTGTTTTTTCTTCTTTATTTTCTTTTTTCCTCTTCTTACGTTTCCTTTTTCTTGTTTCTCTTCTCCTCCTGCTTTTCCTTTCTTTCCTTTTCTACTCTCGCTTTTTTGTTTTATTGTTTACTTTTGCTTACTTCTCTTCTAATGCTTTCTCTTCTTCTTTCTCTTCTTTTTTCAATTCCTTCGCCTTTTCCGTCCTTTTCTATTTTTTCTTTTTTTTTTTTTTTCATTTTTTTTCTCTGTCTTTTATTTCTCTTCTCCTGCTGATTTCTTTTCTTCTTTCTCTTCTGTTTTTCTACATTCTCTTTATCTGTTTTTCATTCTTTTACCTTTTTTCTTCGTTCTCTCTCTCTTCTTCTTCTTCTTCTTCTTCTGGTGTTTCCTTCTTCTTTATCATCATTTTTTTCTTCTTTTTCTCCTCCTTTTTTCTCTTCTCTTCCACTTAATTCTCTTTGTTCTTTTTCTTCTTTCTCTCTTTTTTATACTTGTTTTTCTTTTTCTTCTTCTTCCATCTCTTCTTTCTCTTTGTCTACCTTCATTTCGTCCTCTTCTTTTATACATTCTTTGTCTATCAATGAGAGAAAATGATACGTTAACTTTTATATACCAGAATATATTGTAATATTAAATGACATTGTGATAATAGAAGATCATTGCCGAGGTTCTATTATCACAATATAAGATACTTAATGACAAAAGCGCCAAAAATATATAAAAGAAAATGGAACGAAATGAAATTGCCGAGACTATATTCCCAAACACATATAAAAGAAAATGGAACGAAATGAAATTGCCGAGACTATATTCCCAAACACATATAAAAGAAAATGGAACGAAATGAAATTGCCGAGACTATATTCCCAAACACATATAAAAGAAAATGGAACGAAATGAAATTGCCGAGACTATATTCCCAAACACATATATAAAAAAATATTTATAAATGAAAGCCGAGACTATATTCCCAAACACATATATAAAAAATATTTATAACTTTAAAGACTCACCTCTCCTACACCAATCTAAACATTAACTTTTTGATGTTCACTTTATATATTTATATATATATATATATATATATATATATATATTATAGTAAAAAAAAGAAAGAACAGTAAGATATGTAATCCGGTGTTCTTATTGATATTTTTATTTTTACAAAACAGTGCTCAGTGTAAATTTACAGAGCATAATTATTATAAATTAACTGATTTAAAAATATGGTTTCATCACTACACAGGAATTACCATGTTTCAAAAACAGAAGCCAAAAACTTCAAATTCAATTATATTAAATTGAAAGCATTAGTTCTGTTTCATCTTCAAGCCAATTTTTGGAATTCCCAAAATTGGCTTGAAAATGAAACAGAACCAATTTTTAATTTAATATAATTGAATTTGAATTTTTGGCTTCTGTTTTTGAAACATGGTTATTCCATATGTATAGATGAAACCATTTTTTAAATCAATTACACACACACACACACACATATATATATATATATATATATATATATATATATATATATATATATATATATATATATATATATATATATATATATTATGGTTATGACTTTTTTGTAAGCCTCTGTTCCTGTTTTATATATAAATGTTCAAAAAATAATAAAAAAAGACATTAATTTGTTTTAGTTCTTGAAAATGTCTCCCCGCAAACCGAAAATTCCAATTTACGAATGAGGGTAAAAATCAAATTATTTCCGAAGCTTTAATTTTCAATTTGCTATTGATAGACCTGAATAGTACTTATGTATTTTTTAACGCATTTAACAGTTTATAGCTATAGCATAACATACAAACTTACAAATAAACAAAAACAAGTTCTAGAAGATTCCATAAACTTTAGAAGGCTGCAGGAAGTTCTAGAAGGTTCGAGGAAGTTCTAGACTGCCCCAGAAACTCATATTACTATTATAATTATATACGATTTTTGAAATTTCGTGTCGGGGGTGACATTAAAAAAAATAAAGTGAATTAAATCCTTCTTCATTATCTTTCAACAAAAGTTAATCGAATTATGATAGAAGAAATCAATTATTTTACAAAAAAGTCATAAACCTAACACACACACACACACACACACACACACACATATATATATATATATATATATATATATATATATATATATATATACCGCGTGTAACTGCTAAATTGTCCAAATCAAGTAACACGTAGTTATCCATCTTATAAAATGTTTAATATCTAAAAATCACTAAATTAATTGTGTTTTTTTCCCCAGGTTTCCAGATAAGACGTTTAACCATCTTGACACCAAGTTTAGTAAGAATCACTGAAAAACCATTTGAGTGATTCAGCTAAAAAGGGAGTCGGTTAAAATTGTTTTGTGTCACACCCACTGTCTTCCTAAATGAACAATGGTGAGAGTAAAAAGATCATTCAAGCTTTCAGTAATGGTACCAACATTCATCCTCTGGCTTCCATCTTCAAAGTCCATCCAAAAAACCATCCGGAGAACGGGGAATAAGTTTAAAAAAAAGAGGGAACGGTAGAGAGGAAAACTGCAGCAGAAGGTCACGACAGCAAGAGGGATCATCATTTCAACTTCAATATATATATATATGAGCTTACATCGGTGAAAAACTAGCAATGATTTATGAGTGCTAAAGTGATCAATTAGAAAAGATCCAACCCTATCCATAAGACGTTTGGCACATGAGAGAGGTGTTTCAGCTATGACAGCCGAAAAAGCAGCGGAAAAAGACTTGAAAATGAAACTTGTGAGGCACCTTGTTACTCCAGGACAGAAAGTTAGAAGGTTAGAGAGGGCGAAGATCATCTTGAATAAGTTGGAATATGATCCTGGAATAATACACACACACACACACACACACGCACGCACGCACACACACACACACACACACACACATATATATATATATATATATATATATATATATATATATATATATATATTTCAATTTTATTTCAATCCTTCATGAGCTTCCGATCGTTAGGCATGTTTAATGTTATTTTCGTTTATGATCGATTTCATCACGACTCTTCTATTCAGCTTGGAGAGTAATTATACATTCTTATTGCTCAAAGTAGAGTCCAACTGAGTTATAAAAACCTTGGAAAATTCCAGTGAGATATCTTTAATCATTTCTAAGTTACAACGGTTTAGAGCTTAATGTAACAATTGAACAATTTTGCTGTTACATGATTTGGACAATTTTGCTGTTACAGTTTTGTTGTATTCACGTACATACAAATACGCGCGTAAACATATGTGCAAATTTAAGAATCAACACATGTAAGGTTGCGTGTTTGAAATAATAATCAATTTTTAGCTTGGGAAATTTTTTCTCTTTTCCGCAAATCATTATCGTTCACTTCATGATTCTTGCAAAAGAATAATATTTTTTCCCTTTTTAGTAGTTATTCTCGCTGTACGTAAAGCGGTACTTTTAGTTAGTGTTAATATTGTGTTAAGTCATTGTTTTGTGCAGCTCAATCTTATGCTCTTACCAACACTACTATTAGTGTTACCTATAAAAATGACTTTTTTTTACACAAGCCTAAAACGAAGCCTTCTCTCTTCAATGAATCTGAAATGACAACCTTCGACGTTGACTAGGGCAGCATTTTGCAAACATTTTTTTTTACTGTGACCCACAGCAAGAACCTCATACTGCATTGCGACCCATTGTCCCTACGTGTAAAAGAATAAAAAAACAAACTCTGTTAAATAGGTTAATCTATTTAGCATCAACAATTTATATGTATATTTCTTATAATCTGCCCATATTAGAATCGCATGTATCTAGTCCTATTATATATTTGTATAAATTTAAAATTATCTGAAATTTTAAAAACAATTCCAACCCGTTCTGACAATTTCCTTTAAAACAATCGACTCCATTTGACATCACCAAGAATTATTCAGAGACGGTTTTTCAAATGAAACACAACACATCATGACAATATTAGTCCAAATGAGTTTGACGAATTAGATAAACTCGATAAAACAGAAATACCGGTATATATATATTTAAATAGATTAGAACGGTACAAAACGTTGAGTTGGGCAACATAAGAAATCATTCAGTCGACCGGTTTCGTCCCCTCTCGTCAACTGAATTATTCAATTATAATCATAAAAAGTCTTTCACCGTGACCATGAAAAGATGAAGGAAAGATAAACCTTCGTAGCTAAGTTTTGGGGCGATGTAAATGATTCCAACACCTTGAATGAAAAAAGTGGTGCGAACTGGCCAAGACGGAAAACCAGTTCACATTGAAATCCAGAGACATCCGCAATCGAAGACCCATAAATTGACGTCACTATCGCCTAAAAAGAAAATTTTGTTTAGTATTCTGCAGGTACGTTGTTTGACGAATGTAGTCGCATCCAATACTACATTTAAACTCGATAAAACAGACATCTTTTTACATAGATGGAAGTACAGACCTAGTTTGAAAAACAATATACGTTCGCTGCAAAATAATATATATATGAAATACGCTTGGCGAAGGATTCACTAATAATGTAAACGAAGATAACCGAAAATAATATTTTATGAACCTAGCGGTCTCATTCGAATAACGTTCAATGTTCAGCATTAATTTCAAGTTAAAGGGCTCATGTTTCAAGGTGTCATCGAACAGATCATTAACGCCCCAGAGGGTCCTAATAATTATCTTTTTTTGTTTATAATATTTTTCATCTAGTAATAAACAAGGAAAAACAAGAACATTTACAATGAACCATTGACAAATATGATGAACACCATAGGGAAAAAAATTTTATTTGATTCATGGCTGAATTTCAAAATTGTCATCATACCGACTGGTGCAGAACCAAAAATGGTTATGAGGACAATTCATGATTTTAATGATATATATATATATATATATCATATATATATATATTGCGATATAACATATATATGAATAAAAGGAACACAAGTGAAGACACAGATGTCGGAACACATAAAAAAACACAATTCCAATGAATTTGGAAATGAGTGCTATGCAACATCTAACATTGTTTTAATTCTGCAGTTTGAAGACCCCATCGATAATATGGGTTTTTCGTATTTTGTCGTTTCTGAAATCGAATGACCAATGTAGAATCATGAGTGTCAATGGAACCAAGGACCCATTTTTTATAACAATTATATATAATATATATATATGGAAAGGAAAAAACTAGCAATGAATGAAGCTTGAAGACGTTTTAATTCTGCAGTTTGCCCTCACTTGCGTATTTTTGTCGTGACCCACCGAAGGGTCGGGACCCACAATTTGATAAACTCTGGAAAGGAAAGAAAAGAAGTTGAAGACGTCTTATAACGCCTTAACACTGAGCTAGGTTGGTTTGGTTTCATTTGGTTTATTTTGTTTTACGGTATATCAACCTCAATGGGTTATTTAATGCCGACAAGAATTTTTAGGATAGG